TAAAGCACATAGGAACACTAACATGTTTATCTGTCAAAATCAAGTAAATATGAAAGTAATTTCTAAGGATACTTTTCTCATTTCTACTTACCTTCCTCCCCGACAGTTCATCTGCAGAAATAAATTTCTCTAAAATTTCTGTGGAACTGTGATTTAGTTCTTATGTCATAAGCCCTGTGCCAGTTGTAACCTTCTATGGCACCTAACAGAGCTACAGAGCTCAAAACAACGCTTTTTTTTTTTTCAAAACAACACTTTTAAGGATGATGATGCTATTGAAGTATCAGTGCAATAAAAAAAAACTAACCACACCAAATTACAGCATGTAAAAATAGACTCTTTAATTCTTACCCTAGTTTCTGTATTATTTACTGTTCTGCTTCAAATATGGTAGCAAATTCTGAAATTTAATATAACTTTTAAGATACTCGCATGTCTCTATTTTATCAATGTGAAGAGAATGATTACTCTGAACTTGATAGTCTTTAAGAATTAATTTATACAGAGGGCACTGGGTGGCACCGTTGGTTGAGCATCTGTTTCTTGATGTTAGCTCAGGTCTCGATCTCAGGGTTGTGAGTTCATGTCCAGTGTGGGCTCCACACAAGGCATGCAGCCCACTTAAAAATTAGTTTATATGGAAAAAGCATATATCACCAATATGGCCAAAATTATTATATTTTTATTAGTGCAGTTAGAAATAAACTATGGTCACCTAATTTCAAAATTACACCAGAATCTGCTTCAGTGCCTCCTTAAATTATTTGCTGTACAAAATCTATACCTATGTTGTATTTATGATCACTTGTCTGAGATGTTATATGTCGGAATTATTGGGCCACCAGATTTTTCCTATGCTATGCATTTCCCATTGTATTTTTATTGAATTCTCCTGTATAACCTTTCCAGTTCTCTTGGTCTTTATCTTTAGTTAATAAGTCTTTGTAAAAAAAAAATCTTAAATAATTACATACTGCTTCTCAAGTATAACGTGTTTTTGCATTTTATTTTATGTCAGACATTTTGATAGCAATAGCAATATTAATAATTCATAACAATACCTTATATTTATAAAACATATTTACTACAGAAGGTTTTTAACCCAGTTTAAAATATCTTATGGCATATACATATATGCATAGATATAATGCGTACCACCTAGAAATGCACACATTTGTGCGCACACACATTCTTTCCATATTTTATCTTTAGCTTCTTTGAGAAATGACATCATAGCCATTCTATATTTGCAATAGTCCAATAATCTCTAGGTTATAAAACCATGAATAATTTAACCAACTAATATTACAGGGGAAAACTGCAGAGGAATTTTAGTGAGCTAAATTCAATTCAGACTTGGCAAATCAAAGATAAAATCTTTTGCTTCTATGAAAAGTACAAACAGAACCATTTATGTTGACAGGTTCTTTGGGTGTGTGTGTCACTGACACTTCATCTCAAAGACTGAGACATCTGTAGAAATCAGATGCTAATTCATCACCAAATCACAGTGGTTTTGTAGCCACTCTATCTCTACAGGGTTAGGGATGTTAGCTCTACTGCACATTCAAGTAGTCTTAGTCTCTGCATCAGATGAACCTGGGAGTTGGTATACTCTTAGGAAAGAGGAAAGTTGATGTTTATAGCCAACTTGAAAATGATTTCTGAAATCATCACATCTGTGACTCCTAATACAATCCAACTGATTATTATTCATTGTGCCCTAGGTCTGTAGACCAGTTCTTCCGTCTGTAACCGTTGGCCTTTTACCTACTGCCCTCATTCTTGTCACATGTCTTATTTCCCTTAGGCTTATTATTCTCTTAAGAGTCCCGTCCTGGCTAATTTGGGATATCAAGCTGTCATTAAAAGACCCAATTCATGAATTCTTAAATACTTTTAAAAACAACCCTTTGCTTTGTAGTCATCACAGTAAGAAAAAAAGACATTTCACATCATCGTTTGCAAAACACAGAGCACAAATAATCCTTACTTTCTCTTGAAATTAATAAGTAAGTTCCATAGAGAGAAATATTCTCTTCTATAGTGTCATCCATGAATTATCATAAGATTGTTTGCTTTGTGTTTGTTTCTCTTCAAGAATGAGTGCCATGCAAGCAAATCCACGTTCTCTGCACATCAGAGACAATCTAAGACAGCCTTCAGAATCCCCAAAGTTACACTGTTGCCAACTTCTCCCTGATTTTCAAAGATGTTAATGTAATAACCAAAATGGAAAGGACTTCAGAATATTCAAGTGAGAAATCTAATACGATGTCTGTTCAATGCCAGGCATTGCTCTTGGGGATACAAAGATAAGAATATTTTGTCCTATTCCTTTATTGTTGCACTTCCATCATGCTAATAAAACGCTATGTACTTGAAATTCATGTAACTTTAAATTTTATTACGGGGGCATCTGGGTGGTTCTGTTGGTTAAGTGCCCGTCCAACTCTTGATCTCATCGGGTCATGATCCCAGCGTCGTGGACTTGAACCCTGTTTTGAGCTCTGCACTGACAGCACAGAGCCTACTTGGGATTCTCTCTCTCTCTCTCTCTCTCTCTCTCTCTCTCTCTTTCTTTCTGCCCCTCCCCCACTCATGTGCACGCTCTGTCTCTCAAAGTAAATAAATTTAAAGAAAATAAAATCTGGGGCGCCTGGGTGGCTCAGTCCGTTAAGCAGCTGACTTCGGCTCAGGTCATGATCTCGCGGTCCGTGAGTTCGAACCCCGTCGGGCTCTGTGCTGCCAGCTCAGAGCCTGGAGCCTGTTTCAGATTCTGTGTCTCCCTCTCTCTGACCCTCCCCCGTTCATGCTCTGTCTCTCTCTGTCTCAAAAATAAATAAACGTTAAAAAAAAATAAAAAAAAGAAAAGAAAATCTATTGCAAAATTTAGTATCTATATAGCACATTAAAATTCTATAGGGAAGAAAAAAGTGGTCTGTAAGAAATAGGAAAGAATTACAAAATTCTTTTTTTCTATTTTTACAAAAATAATTTTCTTATTTTTCCTGTATACCTGGTAAAGGATTCACTTCATTGGTACCTAAGCTTTATAAACTGTTTTCACTTCTTGATCACCAGTTGTCAAAAAAAGGTGTGCTTTTATAATGATGGGAAATAGAGGTGTGTATCCTGTCATAATTTAAGGTACAGATGGAGATCATCTTAGAGTCATTACATATTTAAGCAACTTGCTATATACTGATGAAAAAACAAAATGTCAAATCAGAAAATAGTTTTCTTGGGCTGACGTCCCTGCATCGGTGTAGTACATGAACAGATTTTAAAATACATAATAAAAGTTCCACATCTAGGATACAAAGTAGTATAGAAAACAAGCACTATATTGAAAAATAAAGTAATTTCTTAATTCTCATTAGTTTGCATATCTGCAACCACATATCTAAACCCTCACAACTGAAGAGACCATTTCTTCATTTACAGTCTTATGCTCTGCGATGGTTCTAAGTTAAAAGGAATTAGCATTGCAGTATGGGAAACACTAAACAATTTATAAATTAGTGAGGTAATTTTTTTATTATAATACCATACATACAATAAGCAGTTTTGGTAAATTACTTTAATAGCAAGTGAAAAACACATTATTATGACTTATAATTTGTATTCTTTATTTTAATCATGTTAAAAATTCTGGAAACTAGTTGTTCTGTGGCATGTTTACATGAAGTTTGTGTTTGTAATAATGATTTTGTTCACTGAGCAAAATTGCTTTAAAGGGAAGTATCTTCCTTGGTTGATAGAATTTTAAAATAGGAATTTTATTACCTTTTTTTTTTCTCTACTAAGATTAATGATTTTTATCCCCATATGAAATTTTCCTACACGTTGTGACGGATGGGTAATAGTGAAAGATAGTGTTCATTCTGTCTTGTTTCCTCAGTAAATCATAAAATGGTATTTATTTGTGTTGCAAATTGCCTTAGCTTTGCACTTCAGCACCACCTGGTGGACAAAATATCTTTTTTCCCCCTCTACAGTTTAAAATAGCCCCTTCATACTCTATATCCAATTATGACACATCTTAATAGATATTTAATTGAAAACATATTTAATATTAAAAACAGTTGTGAACAAACTAAGATTAAAAAATCTGAGATGTTTCCTAAGTACTATTGCCAAGTTAAATCCCTGAGGCTTTTAAACTTCATGAATATATACAGATTTGTATAGTATGTTGCATACATATGCTAAAGTTGGGGGGGTTTGATAATTTAATTTTTATCATCTAAATTTTTCCTCGATAAAAAATTAAATAAGATCAGGAAGTTTTCTGTACTTTAGTAGCAGATTATGGTTTGAGTTAGATTGTCTATCCAAAATTCAGAGTAACCACTTGGTAAACACTTTACGAAGAATTTTTATGCTACAGATTCCTGTCTTGTTAATATTTTATGTGTAATTAAAATTAAAACCAGTATATTAACCATTGCTACTATAAAATAAGCCATTTTCAGTTTCATTTTTCTACTTTTAAAATTTAGTTGTGGTCTTATATGTATTAGTTCTCAGTTTTTAATAGTTTTTTAAAATTTTCCAGAGGTTAAAGTTGACAGTATTTTCAATGAAAAACACAAATACATATAAAGCTAATTTTGAGAATTTTAAAAATGATGATCTTTGTGTAGTTCCATGTGACTATAAAATAGAGTATAATTTTTTTCTTATGACATCCAGTTAAGAAGAGAATATCCTTTCAGATTCCACTATGTTCCTTTGGGATACACACTTATCTATTCCCTGGTAAAATTGAGGGGTCTATAAATTTGAATGTGTGACATTCCAAAGCTTAGTAGCTGAAGAAGAATTGTTGCTATTTAAGTAGGAAGTATGTTCTAGCTTCATGCTTTCTATAGTCATATAAGATAAAATTATAATAGATAATCTTCATTAAGACGTGTATCTTGAACTGAAGTTATTTGCTTGGTTACTTCAAGAAAACATTTAAAATCTCTCTTTTTGCTTCCTTTCATCTAAAGGCCTTGGATGGTATACTGTAAATTCAGCATATGGAGATACCATTATTATGCCTTGCCGACTTGATGTACCTCACAATCTCATGTTTGGAAAATGGAAATATGTAAGTGTGACCTACCTTGGACTTGGTTAACTGCTTCTAGTTTTTGATTTTTGTTTGTTTGTTTGTTTGTTTTTGAGATACTATTCCTTCTGTGAGTAAATGTGAATTTCAAATGAACATAATGGCAATATTCAACTGTGAGTACAAGTGTAGGAAGGTAGAATTAATGTGTTGAATATCTCAAAAGAGTAATTCCTAAGTCTTACATAAGAAGTGCTATTTTAAAATAAAGCCAATAAACACGTAATTCTTAGATCATATTAGTCTGAAAGATTTAGCCTTAAATGTTAGAGGCAGAGGAAAAGGCAGAGTTCCAGAGTAAAATCAGTGGAATATAGGACAGAGCTCAGTGAAAGACGGCAGCCTTTCTCCATATACTCATGTTCTGTTTGGTGTGGCTATTGCAAAGGCAAAATACACTAGTTGCTAGAGTACCCAAATATTCATTGGGAATTAGTCATCAGCGTTAGAAGCTTGTTTTTAGTATTGTCTTAGGAACATATTGATGTGGCAGGTCCTTTTTACATTTAACATTTGTTCCTTTAGTCATTTCTTACAGATAGCACATCATATCTTCTCAGGTGTCAAGGTACAGATGGGTCTGGAAATGGAGGGTAGATATCCTGGTAGATGGATATAGGGTGGCTAGGTAGCATCTAGTGATAAAATGTTTCAACCTAATTACCGAAACCAACAAAAGGTAGCTGTGTGGCACAATTTCCTAAGGCTGAATCACACGAGACTCATGGTAGTTTGCAAGCTTAAAGTAGCCATATATTTCCTTGAACACAGTAGGCAGTTTTTCCCAAGTTCCCTGAAATGTTAAAACGTATTTAAATAGGAAAAAAAAAATCCGATGGTCAAATAATTTTTGAAAACTTTATCACAATACTTCTCAGAGCTTTTCACACACTAAAATGCATTATGAATTGTCTAAGATTGATTCATTTCTTAGATTTTTTTAAACACCAACTTTTTCTTTCAAGTATCTGCCAGAACAAACATTTTGCAGAATACACTTTGGGAAATGTACTTAAGGTTGCACTCAAGGAAGGATAGAACACAGTCTTTCAAAATGTACGTTCTTAAGTCAGACTGACATATTCTGCCGTATACTTGTGGGATTCTGGACACGTGAATGAACCTCCATTGTCTCATCTAGAAAATGAGGTGATAAGAGTAATCTTCCCTACAGTGTTGTGAGGGTTCCATGAAGTAATTCTTATCAGAATATTGACTGAGCCCTTGGCACAAGGTACCTGTTACGACTGTTGGGCTGTGAAGCTCTAAGCCTACGTGCTTGTACGAGGGTCATATGGAAGCAGAGGAAGGGCACTTCCTCTGTGCTCTCCTTCTGATACCTAGATCACAGTGGGCAATTTTGAACTATTTCTGCCTTCTTATAAAACTAGAAATAGTAGGAAGCTATGGCCTATGAGTCTATTCACTCCCCTAAAACTCCAAGCGAGACTACCACATACTTGACCTGTTGCGCCAAACTTCCTGCCAAAATAAATGGAACACAGATGGTGAAACACTGTGATCATAAACATTCCTGATGATAATTCAGGGAATAATTTTCACCTAAACTGAACTGGTACAGTGGTAGTGGAAACAATAATGACAATTTTCAAATTGTTAATTAAGCCAAAAGCTTCAGCAATAAACTGATGAGATATATATGAAGTACCATGTGCTCTAAAAACAGTGTTGATTTGTAGACATAGTACAAAGGCTCTAATTTAATGAAAGATAAATGGTAGGTTTGGAAAGAGTGAAAGGGAGCAAACAGGGGAAGGATGGATTAGCTTCTCCCCACCTGCACAGTAATCCCCCTGTGAATAGAGATCATAGTTCCCTGAGTGCCTGTCCACACCTCAGCCCCACCTCTTCTCCAGCATCTGCCTCAGTGCCTGGGACAGAAGGGGTATCTGACAGCTATCAAGAGCAGTACGGTACAGTCATGATGGAGCTAGGCTGCGGAACTTCAACCTTGGCTCTCCTGGGATACACTAGCTGGGCTCCTGGATGATTTATTTAAGCAACCTCTGTCTGTACTGTGTAATCTGTAAATGGATCTAATATTGCAACTCTAACCTTCAGGGTTGTTATGAGTATTAAATCAGTTAATGCATGGAGAGCCCAAAGAAGATACCTGGCATATAATTAAATGCTCAAAATTTAATAACTATTATTCATTATGTAAATGTTTGAATATAGAAATATAAGGGACTGGTTTAACATCTTTCTCTCAGTGAAGGAATGATTTAGAGCAAGGATTTGCTTTGTAAACCATGGGAAAATTAAAAAATTTAAGGAGAATATTATTGATGTATTCAGATGTTCAACCAAATAAAACTTTTGGACTCTAAAATTAGCTTAGTAATTATCTTGGCTTGGGGCGCTATAACAAAATACCATAGAGTAGGGAGCTTAAACAAAATATATTTATTTCTCATAGTTCTGGAGGCTTGGGAATCTAAGATCAAGGTGCTCGCAGGTTTGGCTCTTTGTGAAGGTCCTTCTTATTTGCAGACAGCTGCCATTTTGCTATGTGCTCATATGACCTATGTTTTCATGGAGAGAGAGACCTCTCTTCCTCTTATGAGGCTACTAATCCCATCATAAGGGCACCATCCCAGGACCTCATATAAACCTACTTACCTCTCAAAGGCTTCCCCTTCAAATATCAACACACTGAGGGGTTAGGGCTTCAGCATATGAATTTGGTGGTGACCCAAACATTTAGTCCATAACAGTAATAAATATTAATAATTTTAAAAATGTAACTTCCCACAGCACCTTGAACTTTGCCATGCACTTTAAAATATTTTATCATATTTTATTTTCTCAAAGGCCTTGTGAGGTAAGTTAAAGGGATTGGCTGCTATGTTAGAGTAAATTGCTTATTCGGTAAAAAGATTTTTGTGGGAGCAAAGGAAGAGATGAATTATATGTCTCGGGCTCTTGGCATAATTGCTCATGCCAGATTATATTTTATTTTGATAATAAGTTTTTACACGAAAGCTCTTTGAGCTAAGTTTTATGACTCAGATAGCAAAACTATGGATTTTAGTGATTAATCTGATCCTGTTGCTTAATGGACATGATTGTTTCACAAGGGCAAATACTGTTCCTCCGTGAAGACTCATTAAATTATGTTATGAGTAAAGGTCAGCTGTGTCAGTTTTGGCTGAAAATAAAAGGTGTGGACATTTGAAGTATGTGGATTAAAGTAATGAATATGCAAAAGATAACCGTCCAGGATTTCTAAATTAGTGTTTGCAGCCCATGTGTATGCTTGCTGGGAAGGTTAGCTGAATATCATTTTGTACATTTGCATGTTTGTTTTCATCTATTTTTTTCTTTTATATTAGACCTAATGCCAGCCCTTGTTGGTTTCAGAACAGTCACTAATTCTGTTGTTTGGATGCAAGGAAAGTTAAGACTCCAATAGCTTTGTCTTTCAATTTTCACATATTTAAACTGATAACCTGTAAAAGAACTTACAGCCTCTCCTCTTATGAAGAGTAATTTTCTGTAACCAAAGAATTTATGTGAAGCTCATATCCACAATGACTCTTCGTAGACAGAAGTATAAATATTGGTAGAAGAATAGGGCCAAGGAAATTGTGTTACTTTGGATGTAATCCTGAAACATCTGAATATGCTTGTTTTAAAATGTGTTATTTTAATTTTTAGGAAAAGCCCGATGGCTCCCCAGTATTTATTGCCTTCAGGTCCTCTACAAAGAAAAGTGTGCAATATGATGATGTGCCAGAATACAAAGACAGATTGAGCCTCTCAGAAAACTACACTTTGTCTATCAGTAACGCAAGGATCAGTGATGAGAAGAGATTTGTGTGCATGCTAGTAACTGAGGACAATGTGTTTGAGGCACCTACAACAGTCAAGGTGTTCAGTAAGTAGTCTGTGGTGTAACTGCTAAGTGGGATTGATGGCTTGTACTAGAAAATGTTCTTTAGAAAGAAGAGTGAACTCTCTGTGGTGTCTCCACAGCAGGTATCTGTAAAGAGGACTTCTAACGATCTTCATTCTGCTCATGCATGCTGTCAGTGAGGAAAACCAAAAACCTGAATTTCAAATAGGAGTTTTGCAGTGAGGAACTAGAAGAATATCCTCTGTTGTTTTGTTGGCTAAAATTTCCTGTGATATGAAGTACTACAAGTGAAAACTGGCATGTGATCTTTAACTTTCACTGACACGTACAAATAAATGTTCTGTGAAATATACATAGCTATACGATACACATATTTGTGCATATCAGGCATACACACACACACACACACACATATACATACATATATATATGTATTAGGCTGAATAATATAAAATTAAGATTTTGATATATAAAAACAACAAAATACAGGCAAATCCAAGCCATGTTATAAATGAGAAATCTAAGCTTTCTGCATGCGTGTGTGTGCATGTATGTATAGTACTATATACGCACACATGTGCACACACACACATATATATCCTGGCCTTTAATGCCATTGCTATATTTCTTCAAAGTGTTCAGTTGTATTAGCAAATTGCTCCAAAATTAAAAAAAAAAAAAAAAAAAAAAAAAAAGCTCACCACACCCTGAATGTGTATGTGGAATACACCAAGGAGAAAAAGTAGAGTAGGGTTGGAAGAAGAGAAGTCGGCAGAAGAAACTTGGAGTAATTACTGTAGTCATTATGGCAAAGTTACTTTGCCTAATGATAATATATAGTTAATGTTACTGTGCAAATAGCTATGTAAATGAGTGACTTGAGAAGTTCTAATTAAAACATTTTATCTTTTAATATTCAAATAAAAATCCCACCTCATATTACATCATAATATTTTAGAAATTACAGGGAGAAAAATTGGTCACAAACGTTTCAGAATGCCAGTCTGTTTTAATTAGGGTAGAAGGTCTCACTTTTCAATTTTTTCCCTGTTTTCTGATAACTTGACAGCACCTAGAAATTATTAAAATAAATAGGGAAGACAGAAACCTAGAGGGGCTTGCTACTACAGAAAACAATCATGGATTTTCCCCATTTTTCTTGTAACAGCCTATGCAACTAAGGAGAACTGTCCCTAAGTATTTACATAGATTTCAAAGCTCCTACGGGCTCATGACATGGATTCAAAGAATGTTTGTACTATCAAAGGAAACCTTTGTTCTCCAGAACCTTGTAAAAGCAATTATATGTTTCAATTGATTACCTTTCAGCTTAGAAGGCACTTTCCAGAAAACATCCACCCTTTTCAGTCATTTTATGACTCAAACCAAATTCCAAGTATTTGCCAGTCATGCCTTCCATTAAATACCCCAAATAATATGCATCCTTTATTTACCAGTGTTCCATGTATTTTTCTTTTTCTTTCTTTCTTTCTTTCTTTCTTTCTTTCTTTCTTTCTTTCTTTCACTTCACTTTGATGTTATTAGGAAGATGGATGGTGCACTTCTAGGGACACTTTTTGTAAAGAGAATAAACCAAAATAATTTTTTTTTATTAGGCCATGATGTCATAAATATAAGTACACAACAAGAATGTCGCACAGTAGGTAGAGATTAAGTCACAGCTCCCTGAAGGTTACATGTATTGATTTGTCATTGTTGGGTTTCTTTTTCACTGTGTTAAAAATTATCAAATAGCAAGATGGTCTACAGGAAAGTTGAGAAAATCCAGGTTGTTTCCTTTAGAAGAATCATTTGTGACAATTTTCAGAATACACTTTAAAAATATCATACAGCAATCTGAAAAAAAAAAATCCAGTTGGTCTACTTTGATAAAATTTGTATGCTATTTTGGAATACAGAGGATTTCCATGATTGTGAAAACAAACTCACACCCCACATACTGTCAGCACCTCCCTACCCCCCCTCTCTTTTGAATGTTGTTGAAAACAAAGTGATTCTCAGAAACAGAATTTGCATTCTAGGCTCTGGGCCAGGGAGAATTTAAACAGACAAGTTACACACTCTTGAAAATGGCATTTTATATTAGAAGCCGTGGGACCTCCAAGTCCAATTAAATGAACAGCGCAGCTCATGATAAGGAAAGTGTTTGCAAAAGCATATAGAGGCTTTGCTTTTTTAAAAAAATAATGAATTTACTTTGGGTCACATTTTGTGAAGCAAACAACAGCTGTGACAGGGAGGCTTTTATTCTGTGCATGTATATATTGCAGGCACTTAAGAGTTACTAGACTCATCAATCAGTCCTCTGTTTCCTTCTGTCAAATCACCTAGCAACGTGCACTGTGTACTATAGAATCAAGCATGGTTAACGTGAGCTAATCCCAGATCAGCTTGCTGCAGAGTGCCATCCTCATGGGCAAACTCAAACTGTTTTTATTCAAAGTGAGGCCATGACTGATGACTCTGTTACCTCTGGTGTAGGTTTGTTTGTTTAGTTTTAAACTGTATCTCAGATACAATAGTCATGCCCATAAAGCAAGCCAGATTCAAATAAGTCCCATTTTTTATTGCCACTAGTACAGCTTTTTATTTTCTTTTTCCTTTTTTTAAAGTTTATTTATTTTGAGAGAAAGACAGCAAGCAGGGAAGATACAGAGAGAAGGAGAGAGAGAATCCCAAGCAGGCTCTATGCTGTTAGCACAGAGCCTAGTGCAAGGCTCAAACTCATAAACCATGAGATCATGACCTGATCCCAAACCAGGAGTACAACACTTAACCGACTGAGCCACCCAGGTGCCTCTTGCACAGCTTTTTAAAAAATAATTGGATGGCATCAGAATTAAACTGTGTTTGCATTTAATGCACATTTGAAGTTCATAAAAAAATTTCAGAATCAACAGTAGAGACTTTAAAGGTCTGAAAGATTCATTGCAGTCATTGTACAAAAGTCTTGGAGCTCAAAAGAGTACCCAGATTGCCAACTGGCTGTCAGTAGTTTAACAGAAACATCACCCACTGGTTATCAGAAGACCTGGCTTTGTTAGGTCTGCTGCTAATTTCTGACTTTGGGGAGGTTTACTAGTCTGGCACTACAATTCTCTCATCAACAGTAAAATGACTGCTTTGAATTTGTGGGTGGTTTTCCTACTGTGTTCCTAGGATTTTCTTGAGTAGCTAATGAAGAGGGCTGGTAGGTCAGGTGAGGCACTGCTTCGATTAGTTAGCCTTCCACCCACTCGATATTTCAAAGTTTTTTCGTGATAATTCATTTAGAAACAACAACATAAAAGGGAGAATGGCTCTAGCTCTAAAAAGGCATTTGAAAACCACAGTCTAGGCTAATTGGTAAGCCCTCCTGTACTCTACTGTCTGGTGTTAAAAGGAAGACTGTTTCCATGACATAGAGTCAGTGGACACTTGGACCAGCTCTTCCCTTAGAGATGGGCAGTGCTGGTTGACTTCAAACAGTTACTTTAGAGCTTTCATTTGAACACTGTTCTCCATGTTTTATTAGAACTGAGCACCCTTCCTCTCCCCCTGCCCTGTAAAAGTTAATCAACCTGCAAGGAATTTTTTTTTTTTTTTTAACTGAAGGAAGCAGAAAATGACCTATTTAACAAATGAGACCTACACAGTATATTTTATTTTGATTCTCTAAATATAAAAAGTACTTTCCCCATCTCTTGAGGAAAATAAGCTATAAGAGGTAAAGTACTCTTATAAAGTACAAAGTACTTTATAACAAAGTACTTTTATGACAAAGTACTGAGAAGCTCTCGTGAATCAATGTAACCAGTGCACCTTTTTTTTCTTTCTTTCCTCCCATATCAAATTGAGCTGTCCTATGTGTGGTATTTGGTAATAGCACTGTATATTGTGGGTGATATAGGAAGTTTTGTCTTCATCACTTCATCCTCAGCTGGCTGTGATGCTCTTGCAAAATTATTTTACTAATGCAAATAAATTTCTTGTATGACTTTTCCTTTCAATTCTACATTCAGTTATGAATCCCTAAATTATAGTAAGACATAATTCATGTAAAGTTTTTTTTTTTTAAACACTTCGGAATCAATATGCAATTTTGCTAAAATAGTACGTGTCCTCTTTTATGGCTCTCCAACTAATACCCATTGATTGTTACAAACTAATGTAAGAAAATTACATATAAAATATCTAGTGGGTTTGAAACCAAAGTTTGGGAGAAAAGAACTCAAAGAATTCCAGTAGCCATTACCATTATTCCACAATACCCATTGTGACTCTTCCAAATAAAAAAAAATGAGTTACAAAGTGGAGTGGTCTAAACTTTAAGCACTCTTCACTGTTTTTTCCAGTTTCATTTTATTGAAAAGAACTGTTTTTTCCAGTTTCATTTTATTGAAAAGAACTATACATTTTAGAAAATGTTTATGGAAGAAATGTAAACATGGCCATGTGTAAAGGACCAACATTTGTAACACAACAAGTATTTATGATCTTATGTGCACTGGACATCACAAGGTTACGAAACAGAAGAATATATATATATTCTGCATAAGAGGACATATGCGCCCAGCCGTTTTGGTATATAGTTTTTTTTGTCAAACTTAGAAAGTAATGAAGCTTAGCAACACCACCCACCTACATTTTGTATTAAGAGCCTCAATTAAAAAAAAAAGGAACCTCAGATTTTTTTTTCAGTTGATTTTTCATATCTCTTTATATATTCCAGGCATAGATACTACTGAAGGGGAAACAAACACAAAAATTGTTCTTTTTTTCTTCTTAATTTTGATTCTTGATTGACTACATAAATTAATTTAATATCTTACCTCTCTTATGCTCTCAGAGAGGTATCACTAAATAATTGATTTTGGTTCCCAGAGAACTTTGGCTTACTTACTTAAGCACCAAGAATTTTCATCTTGTTTAAATATTTTGAATGTAGCCTTCTCTCAAATGTTTTAGACTTTGGCTTAAAACATAAATTCAGAACGGAATGTAATGTTTTATCAGTAACTCAGGGTTGTAATTGTGGACATTAATGACTTTACATTAAAATAGTGATAACACCAGTGCTTAACTGATATATGGAAGGCTTTAGTCCCCTACCCTGTGTTTCCCAGAAATTGCTGTTTATTTTGACTTTTTTTTGGTCTGCTTTTAATAATTTTTTGGTCACATTTCTAACAGCCAGAATATCAGGTTTCACTTCTTGTTTGTGTTAATGTAATTGTCTCTGTTATACCTTTCCATTCTTCTGTATTTTGTCTATTTTCTCTTTCTTATGTTTTGTTTCCAATCTGTATATTTAGAAAACAATCATCTTATGAAAATTGAATTAGAATTATATTTCTAGAGTCAATAGTAAGTAGGTGCTCCTATAATTGAACTGCACAAGCTGAACACATAGGAAGATATACTATTATTATTCATTGTTCCAATTTCTAATATAAAATAATTGCAAAAGGGAAATTAACTCTTAATATTAACATGAAGAAGTTTACTTTTTTTTTTTTTTTTTTT